ACCTTATAAAGCTGTTTACGGAACATGTTGCAGAAAAGCACATTTACAGCCTAATGCGTAAGTAATAATTCAACTTAGAGGGGTGATATAATACTATCAGTTATCTTTTCTTTTTCTTTCTTTTTTTTTTTTTTAAAGTCTGTGAACCCTGTCATATAAACCCAATGTTGGCATCTTCTGAACCAGATAGCAGAAGTGTTGAATCCCACCCTATTCTGTAGGGAGAGACACTGAGGAATTTAAAATGTGACTTGAAGGTCACCCAGTGAGCTAGGAGCCGCTTAGCCAGGTCATTGGACATGCTTTTGTGTCTGGCCTGATGCTTGTTGTCTTTTTTTTTCCTCCCCGACAATGGGGGATATATTATTAGGAAATTCACTCCTAACTTTATTACCAATAACTCTAGAAGGAATGCAGTGTTGTGTCTTCGAAGTGGTAGTACAGAATCCTCTCTAATTTTTATCCTTTAATGCAGAAATCCTTCTCTATTCTGACTCTGTCATTTTCTAACTACATATTTTAGGCAAGCTTTTTTTTGCCTCTTGTATCCCTGCATTTCCTCTTCTGTGAGTTAGGGTTTATACAATGTTTAACGTGGCTACATAGCTTATTAATAAGCAGATCAAAGTACTAAGCTCAGTTAGTTTCTCAGGTCCTCTGCCCCTTCACAGTAGGTGGCATTTCATCCTACCTTTCCTTAAAGAATATACTTTTCCAGGTAGGGTTTAAGAAGTCTCTATAACCTAATGTCTCAGTGTCCTTTAAAAGCTCATTTCGTGCAGTATATATCAAGTCATTTTTTAGAATTTGGCACATATTCAGATTTGTAGTATGCATTTTTGCCTTTCCTATTAATCATAGTTTCTATCACAATGAAGTTTTACCAGAATTTACAGAATTGTTTTAAGCTTGACTACAGACTGTTTTTTCATTTTAAATTAAGAGAAGGAATTGTTAAACATTAGGCCAGTTTATTTTAGAAAGGCAGGGTTTTCAAATAATAGTATAGTTGAAGATAATATTTGTTTTCATTATTATGTTCCCAAGAGATTCTAGAATCAGAATAGAGGCCTAGAATCTTAGGAGTAAGACATGATTTTTTTTTTTTTTTTTAAGGCTGGAGAGATGTTTAAAACATCTTTAAACATTATCTCGTGAGATATTCCAGCTATTAATTTTAACCACTTAAGTATTTCCTCTAATGGTGATGTTTTCTTTTTGCTTTCGTTGCAAAATAGAGAACAGCATTTTGATGTCTTCCATGTTAAAATTCTATCTGGAAATGTTACCATGTGATAGAAAAGCCTATTTATTTTGTAAATATGTTTTTATATTTACCA